AGACAACTAGATACCTATCCTCACCTGCCAAATCTTAGAACTACACAGAAACCTTAACTGGGCTAGTCACATATACTGTCTGGACAGTCTCAACACCACATCACTATCTCAGGGATGTGTCTTTGGAAAGCCTCTAGGAATATGAAAGGCAAACGGAACCCACATTCCAAGAACAGAGGAAGGGGTAAGGAACCTCTGAATGCCCAGGTCCAGTTCATGAGTCAACTGACAGTCATGTCCACTTGATAACCTCCTTCAACAGAATCCGTCCGTGAGGCTAAATCCAATGGTCAGTTCTTCATTGTCTGCAGCACTAGGCAGCCAATCACTTCCTTCTCCCTGAAACACATTCTTCACCTGCTGTCCAGAAGACTACTATCAGTTCTCTGCCTAACTCATGCTATGCTCTCAAGTCTCTTACTGGTTCCTGTTTATCTCATCTGAACTTTGGTGTGGTCAATCCTTGAAACTCATAGTGGGCTCCATTTCTACTCATTCCCTAGGTGACCTTATCTCATTCTAAGGCTTTAATACTTTGACAGGCTGGTGACACCCTAATCTAGCCCTTCAGTTTGTGGCAATCTCCTGATTCCACATTCATACATTCAACAGCCTAGCAGACATTTCTGGTTGTACATCTATCAAGCATCTTAAACTCAACATGCCCATAAATGACTTTCCTATCTACCCCCTAAAAACCTGCTCCTCCCCCTAAAAACCAGGTCTTACAGTGTACTCCATCTTAGTGAGTAATTATTCCATAGTTCCAGGGGCCCAGGCCGAAAACACCCGGGTCATTATGGACCCTCTCTTTCTCTCATACCCACATCCAATTTATCAGCAAGTCTCATTAGCTCTACCTTCAAAATGCAACCAAAATCTATGATTTTTTAAAAGAGTTCACTCATTTATTAAAGATTTTATTTATCTGTTTGACAGAGAGAAAGAGATCATAAGCAAGGGGAGCAGGAGAGGGAGAAGGAGGCTCCCTGCTGAGGAGGGAGTCAATGTGGAGCTTGATCACGACCTGCGCTGGAGGCAGACATGTAACTGACTGAGCCACGCAGGTGCCCCTGGGATCCACTACTTTTTACCACTCTGCCCTCACAGCTCTGGTCCAAAGTGATCATTACCTCCTGCCCAATTTATTGCAACAGTTTTCTAACCGGTTTCCCTGCTTCTACCCCTCACCATTCTCAACCTAGTAGTCACTGTGATCCATTTAAAACTTTAAGTCAGACCAAAATCTTCCCGTTCTACCAAGAATGAAAGCCAAAGTCCTCACAGAAGGCCGTGAGGACCTACTCGGTCTGGCTCACTCCCTGTCTGACCTCATTTCCTACTGCTGGCACCCCTCACGCACGCTGCTCTAGCTTTAGTGTTTCTCAAATGCCCAAATACACCCCTGCCTCAGGGGGCTTTGTACTGCTATCATTCATGCTTCAACCCCTCTTCCCTCAGGTGACCACTGACTCAATGCCTCTCTTTCCTCCAACACCTGCTCAGAAATTACCTCAGTGATGTCTTCCCTGACCACCATTATTTAAAAGTCACCACAGCTTCACCACAGCATCCCTTTCCTGTTCTATTTTTCTCCCCAAAGCATTTGTCATGATCTAAAACTATAGTATAAGCTCCATGAGGACAGAGGCTTTTTCCATGTTGTTACTCCTCCTATTCCAGAACACTGTCTGGCATGGATAATGAAAAAATGATCACCGAATAAACAAACAATGCCTCCTGGACTTGGGAGGCTGCCGTAGCATGGAGGGAAAGATTACCAGAAAAGGAATCAGGAGATCTAGATGTGAATCTGATTACAGTAGTCCCCCGCTTAGCCACATTTTCGCTTTCCACGGTTTCAGTCACCCCTGGTCCACCGTGGTCCAGAAGCAGATGTCATCAGAAGGTCTGTACTAGTCTAACCCACTAGGTCACAAATCCTACATCACTCACCTCACTTTACCTAAGCACACAGGCATTTTATCATCTCACAGCATCACAAGAATAAGGTGGATATAGTACAGTAAGACATTTTGAAAGAGGCCACATTCACATAACTTTTATTAGAGCATTGTGTTATAACTGTTTTAGTTATTATTAGGTATTGTGGGTAATCTCCTACTATGCCTAACTTATTAATTAAACTTTATCCCAGGAATGTACATGTAGGAAAAACAGTACATACAGGGTTTGGTACTATCTGTGGTTTCGGGTCTCCACTGGGGGTCTCAGAAAACATCCCCCAGGGATAAGGAGGGGGACTACTATTGTAGACTAGGAAATGAAAGCAATTCCCAGGTTTGTAGTGCACAGTAATACAGCTAGTTAAATCATTTAACCTCCAAGGTCCTCTGTTTGCTCATCTATAGAACAGAAACGAAAACCTTCCCAATCACCGTATGGAGGAAAATGTTATGCAAGTGGAAAATACTGTCGAGCTCCAGTAACTGATCACATGCTAACCTACTGAGAAATCAATGTTAACACTGCTAGACAAAAGTTTATTCTCGGGCGCCTGGGTGGCTCAGTGGGTTAAGCATCTGCCTTTGGCTTGGGTCATGATCTCAGGGTCCTAGGATCAAGCCCCGCATCAGGCTCTCTGCTCCGCAGGGAGCCTGCTTCCTCTCTATCTCTGCCTGCCTCTCTGCCTGCTTGTGATTTCTCTCTCTGTCAAATAAATAAATAAAATCTTAAAAAAAAAAAAGTTTATTCTCTTTGTAAACTAGAAGGACAACCTGAACTATAAACAAAGACTTTAAACTGCCTTTCTCCCTCTCTCCAATTTGTAATGTGTCTACATTATTAATTATACACATTAGTATCCTAATACTAGTATCTAACTTCTGGGCATCACGGCTAAAATAATTTTTGCTTTCTATCCATTTCACCCAGGGCCAGGCACTGAAGGACCAGACTTCAGAAGTATGGCTGCAAGACCCAGGGGGGAGCTGGGACCTGAGGTGCCCTCGGCTGTCCAGGGAGAGAGGGTGTCTGGGGCTTCTGTCTGGCGTTGGGGAGGGACAGACCTTATCCATTCCCTTCTGAATAGGGGAGATGAGACTTTGTGTGTTGAGATCTTTGGTACTTTTATTTGGTCCCGGAACTGCTCTCCTCACCTGTCTTCCTGCAGCCCTTCCTGTTTGTCTAACCAAACAAAGCTGAGAGAGGCTCTCATAGAGGCAGAAATATAAGCCAGGTTCCTTAGTCAAGAAAATAAAATGTCAATAAAATGTCAAGACAGTCTGAAGGGTGTCTAGAAAATACAGACCTCGCCAAAGCACAGCTGGAAAAACTGGTACTTGAAAGAGGAAAGAGGCATCTTCTCTAAATTCTACTTTTGTTTCAAGTTACATAACAAGAAAAATAAATACGTCATTTAAGTTAGTTTAGTTCTTCACAGAAATCCCTTAATCGTGATTCAGAATGATGGCATTAGCATGTATTAAGGGAATATAAAAACCAAGGTGTGTTTCTCAGTCCTCTAGAAAACTTCTTGTTACATTAACCCCTGCACTTTTTATAATATTCTAACAAATTCACTGAATTTATTGCCAAGGTGGAGAAAGTCACCTCCTGACTACAGGGTCTGATTATGCTCATTGGTATGCTTCAGGTGATGTGAACTATATAGCTCATCCTTTTCTCCTTTGGTCTCAAGTTAAGTTAATTCTCAATTTTAATAATCCCATGCTTGATCTTTATAAGTAAAAATTCCCCCCACCCCCGATTTCTGTAGGCCTTTTCTAACTGCACTCATTTTCACTGTACCCACACTGCCCTCCTGTGCCAAGCACCAGCTCTGGAATTAAAGAGCCTAAATAACTGTGTCACTGTCATCCTCAACCTCTTCACCATGGTTTTGAAAACAGCAACCAACATTTGCTCAGTACGTGGGTTATGTGCCATATCCAAGCCCATTCAGATTTTAGAGCCCCTGGCTCCCTTTTTTTAATGAATAGGAGATCGATTATTAATAAAAACCTCCTGAGTGATATCCTTATTCCCCTTCTCTCCAACTAGATTGCCAGCACCTTGAAGGCAGGGAGCCCCCATAATTCATGCTTCTTTATACATTCTGCCGTATTTAGCACAATACCTTGTGCATCATACAGATCTAATAAATACTCGCTGAGGGGCGTCTGGGTGGCTCAGTGGGTTAAAGCCACTGCCTTCAGCTCAGGTCATGATCCCAGCGTCCTGGGATCGAGCCCTGCATCGGGCTCTCTGCTCAGCAGGGAGCCTGCTTCCCTTCCTCTCTCTCTGCCTGCCTCTCTACCTACTTGTGATCTCTGTCAAATAAATAAATAAACTCTTTAAAATAAATAAATAAATACATACATATATACATACATACATACTTGCTGACTTAGGAAGGCCAAGGACAAATTACAACAGGTAAACCGACACAAAAAGGGGAAAGAGACAAAGCAGAAAATACTGGTCAGCTATCTGACTGGCTTATTTCCTTTTCTTTATTTTCTCTTGTCAGTTCTGTAACCGGTCAGGAGGCCAAGGACTTAGGGCAGCCCTTTGGGATCCAAGCTCAGGGATCCACCCCAGGTTGGTTCACCTTTGGCCAGAAGGTAATTACATGAGAGCAAGTAGAGCAAGTCCCTGAGATGTGGAAGGCTGGACAGAAGGAGGACTGCGAGCCTGGCCTTGCTCCACACCAGGATCACTGCACTGACTGAGCCCAGCTCCTTCTGGAGCCCACCCCAACCTGCCCTTCTTCCTATTGGCAGAACCCCAGACATCCTGCTCTCCTGCACAGCAGGGGGCGCCTCAGGCCCCAGCTCCTCCCCCTGGGTCCTGAAACTCTACTTTCATCCAAGTCTGGTCCTGTCAGTGCCTGGGTGTTGTGAAAACCAAAGGAGAGGAGGAGGTGAAGCAGGAGAGGCTGGTCCTGCCCCCCTTCTCTGGCGGCTCCCCAGCTGGCCTCTCCCTGGGAGCCCGAGTCCAGAAAGAAGGAAGTACTGATTCTGAGGGGAAAAAAAGACATGGGCCCAGCTGGTTGTGTCTTCCTGCTGCCCCTTCTGCTGGGGATCTCAGGTGTGTTTCTGGGGTGACGAGAGTCCTAAGCGGGGGTAGGGGCTCAGCCCAGGACAGCTGCCCAGGGCATGGGCTGTGGGCCTCCTATGGCAACAAGAATTCATCATGGGTGTCTCCCACATACCCCCTTTTCTCTCCCTAGGCGCCAGTGAGGAGGAACCAGAGAATCTCCTGAAGTCAAGTAAGAGGCCCCAGCCAGTGCAGCAGGACTGGGTGGACCAAGTGACAGGCATTTGTGCCAAGCTGAAGAGAGGACACCAGTTTGGGAAAGGAGTGCAGAGGGGTGGGGGCAAAGGGGCAGGTCTCTGGGCAGATCTCCCATGTCTTTCTCCTCTTTGCCGGCAGTCTGCGGGCGCCCCGCCGTCTCATCTGGCATTGCCTCGGGCAGGGAGGCCAACGTGGGCCAGTGGCCCTGGCAGGTCAGCGTCCGCCAGGGCCTGCTTCACATCTGTGCAGCCACCCTCATCTCAAAGCAGTGGGTGCTGACCGTGGCAAGCTGCTTCCGGTGAGTGCGGGCCTTGCTTCGGAGAGACCCGTCAGGGGACTCGGGTGACTGGAGGTCCTGGGCTACGGTCAGACAGGAGTTTACCTTGCACTGCCCGATATGGTACCCTGTGCCTTAGAAGAGGGTCCATATGTTTCCTGCCCTAGGTCTCCAGTCAATACAACTACTCTTAAGATTTCAGTTATCTTGGGGCGCCTGGGTGGCTCAGTGGGTTAAGCCGCTGCCTTCGGCTCAGGTCATGGTCTCGGAGTCCTGGGATCGAGCCCCGCATCGGGCTCTCTGCTCAGCGGGAAGCCTGCTTCCTCCTCTCTCTCTCTACCTGCCTCTCTGCCTACTTGTGATCTCTCTGTCAAATAAATAAATAAAATCTTTAAAAAAAAAAAAAAAAAAAGATTTCAGTTATCTTCATATTTGACAATCACTTTGACTGAAATGAATGCCTAATAACAGTTATCCCCTGTGCCCCCAACTCAGTAGCTACCCAAGGAGATACTCCCTGAGGGGGGAATCCTCCCTGTCCAGCATGCCACATGTTCACACCACTCTGCATGCACAATCTTGAGCCCTCTTTACTCAACCCAGGTGACCTCATTCTCTCCTATGGTTTAAAATTGGCTGGCAACACCCACATGGACATCCCTAGCCCCAAAGTCTAGTTCTGCCCCATTTCCATCTGGAAGTCTCACTGGTACCTCAAAGGTCACACGAGCAGGACAGAGCTCCAATTTCACCACCACCATCATCCCCAAACCAACTTCTATCTTCCCTGTCTCATTCAACAACATAACCAGTTGCTCAAGCCGTACTCAGAAATATGAAGCCCACTCTCCCTCACCCTCCATATGCCAATTCTGTCAGTTTTATTTCCAAAATACACTTTGACTCCAGTATAGCTGGCCCCAGACCACTGCAGTAGTATAACAGGTTTTGCTACTTGATTCATATACATAACAAAGTGATTTTTCAAAAACTCAGTCACTCCCTCCTTCAAATCCTTCAGTGGATGCCCAGGCAACAGAATAAAAACCAGCTGCCTCACTGTGGCCGATAAGCTGTGGATCACCAGATAGCTGCTCATTTTCCCAACCTCATCTCATTCTACTCCGGGTTCACCTCAATTCCTAGAAACTGCCAAGTTCTTTCTCACCCTCCAGGTCTTTGCACAGTCTATATTATATTTCTTCTGTCTCCAATGCTTCTCCTGATAGCTCTTCTCAAGGCTAACACTCGGGTCTTTTGGGACCCTGTTGAGAACTTACCTCTTCAGTGAGACCTTTCCTGATTGCCCAATCCAAAGACTCTTCCCCTATCCTTTACTCTCTAACTTAAAATCCCATTTTCTTCATAGTATTTATCACACTTTAAAAGGCTCTACTTGTTAAATTGCCTGTTGTTTGGCCATCTTCTTTCCCTCCCTTCCTCACTCCCCTCTCTCACACACACTCGCAGTGTGCACAGACACGCATGCATGCACACAATCCACCAGCCCTATGAGGAGGGCCAGATCATGTCTAAGTCTCATTCATATTCTCAGAAAATGCTCAATACTTAGAGAAGGAACAAAAGCTTACGAAGAGTCAGAGGAAAAATGCAACCTCCAGAACTGGGGTTTTCAGGGACACCCCATGACAGAGTCACGAGAAACTCATGGTCCCCCCACTCTGCTTCTCTTCTCAGGTCTAAGGACACCAGAAAATACCATGTGTTGGTGGGGTCACTTCAGGTCTCTGATCGCCCAAGCTCCAAAACAACGGCAATCCCTGTGTCCAGGATTATCCCCTACCCTCACTTCCAGGGAAACACAACTAGTGCCATCGCTGTGGCAAAACTGGCCTATCCAGTTTCTTTTACCCCTGTTGTCCTGCCCATCTGCCTCCCCTCATCTGCAGTACAGCTCAAGAACTCAACCTCCTGCTGGGTGACTGGATGGGGCTATTCTGGAATGCACCAACGTGAGGATAAGTGAATTTTCTGAGCTTTCTTTTCCTCAGCTGACATTCTCTCCCCCTGCTTCCTATCCCAGCCCTAGGTCCACATATACTGCACTCTCCAAGGCAATTAATCTGACACGCCACAGACTTCAAATTCTCCTTGACCCTGTTCCCTCCCCTTTGCTTTCATACTTCTGCTGCAATCTCTCTTGCTTATTCGTGTCTGCCTTTGCTCTTGTTTAGCAGAAGTGCTAAGACCTTCAAAGTGAGAAAGACAAGACAATGAGCTTACAGAGAAGGTAGCTCTCAGTCTGAGATGTAATAGAGCTTTCCCTCTGCACCTGGGTGGTATGTGGTTAGATGGAGAGGGGAAGCGGGCATGAAGATGTATTCAAGAAAGTAAGGCTGCTCAGCAAGTCTCAAGTCAGGAGAGGAGAGTAGAGCTTCATGACTGAATCAACAGTCTTCATTCTTCAGAGTCTGCTAGATCTACTACCTCTTCGTATTCTATGGAATATAACAATATATTCCAAGGCCAAATGAGGTCATTCTGCGTCATTGTTTTGGGTTTTCCTGAGTCACAAGATTTTCTGTTATTTGTGGCATCTGAGTGGGAGCAAATGCCTTCTGCCCTGTTCAGACCCAGGGAACTCAGCCCTTCGGCTATTTCCCGAACTGGAAAGCAGAATGCCATCTGATATGGAGGCAGAATATTTAATCCACTGAGCCACCCAGGCGCCCCGGAGGCAGAATATTTAAAAGCATAGCTGAAATCCCTGAAAAACAGAGGCATTAAATCTCTATCCCTAGCTGAAAGTTGCTTCCTGCATTTTAAGACCGCTCCGATTGTTTTTGTTCTCACAGATATGAAGCCGTCTTATATACTGAAGGAGCTGGAAGTGCCCCTTATGGATCTCCAGACATGCAGTGACTACTACCAGAAAGCAAACCTGCGTGGAATCAAGTCCATCATCAGTGAAGCCATGATCTGCTCCAAGCTCCCAGTGGGGCAGACAGATCAGTGTATAGTAAGAATCCATCCTGTAGGCACCTTCTAGAACCCTCCCCTTTCCCATGTGCAAATTTATTCCATGTCTCTTATCTTCAGAATCCCTGGGTGAATCCAGCAGTGCCTGGAGAGGCCCTAACTCCACAGTTCTTGACTAACCAACCGGGAGAGTTACTGTCTACCCTGTGCAAGGCCTAGTCATCTTTCTTCTCTCCCCCAGGGCAGTAGAGGTGATCCCCTGACGTGTAGAGTGGAGGATTTCTGGGTCCTGGCAGGAGTGGTCAGCTGGGAGTCAAACTGCATCCAAAACAATGAGCCTGGAATATATACAAACATCAGTTTCTATAAGTCTTGGATTGAGAAGTCAGCCATTTCACATACTGACTTTTCTGCTGTCATCAGTCTGTACTTCTCTGGGCTCCTCCCTGTAATGCTTCTACCTCTCATTTTCCTGGGGCTACCCTAAGTGGCTGAGGTTAGTACGACCAGAGTAAGTGACAATTAAGAATGAGGAAAAAAAGCGGGAAATTCTAGTAAGTTGATGGCTTTTGTTTGTTTTTTAAATAGGCTCCATGCCCAGTGTGGAGCCCAATGACCGAGCAAGACCTGAGGGGAGATCATGTCGAATCCCTAACCGACTGAGCCACCTGGGTGCTCCTAGAAGTTGATGGTTTTGATGAGAGATTTTGAGGAGTCACCAAGACAGAAGCAGTTCTGCTATTTCTGCTAGTCACCATAAGCCTAACGTGTCTGTTGCCTTTTATCCCCAAGTCAACCTGGAAAACAAGATCCCCAGTGTTAATAAAGTTTGGTTGATTCCAACTGTTATTTCTTATATTCATTCTTTTGATGAAACTGGAGACAGTGCCTGGGGAAATCCCAAAGCACAGAACTTTAGGGCTGAAAAAGATCTGGAAATCACCTGGCCCAACCAATCCCACATTCCACAGAGGAAGAAACTGGAGTCCAGAGAAATTAGTAAGTTTTCCCTTGCTGAATTCCAGATGAAAATCATCCAATATGGGGGGCGCCTGGGTGGTTCAGTGGGTAACCCCCTGCCTTCGGCTTGGGTTGTGATCCCGGGATCCTGGGATCAAGTCCCACATCGGGCTCTCTGCTCAGCAGGGAGCCTGCTTTCCTCTCTCTCTCTCTCTCTGCTCGCTTCTCTGCCTACTTGTGATCTTTCTCTCTGTCAAATACATAAATAAAACCTTTAAAAAAAAAAAAAAAGAAAGAAAGAAAAGAAAATCATCCTATATGGGCCTAGACTGGGTTCTGAAGAAAGAGCAAGGACTCAAAAGATGAGGTTTCAGTGGAAGCAGAGCAGGAAAGAGGAGCTGAGGGCAGTATGTTAGTTATTCCTGTGCAACAAATCACCCCAAAACTTAACAGCTGAGAAAACTCAAACACTGATTCTCTCACAGCGTCTGGGGTCAATAACCAGGGAGGGCTTAGCCAGGTAGTTCTGGCTCAGGGTTTTTTTCAAGGGGCTGCTGCTATATCAGCCACAGTCATCTCAGAGTTCAACTAGAAAAGGAGCTGCTGTCAAGCTCATTCATAGGTCTGCCGCCGGCTCCAGAGGATCTGCTTCTAAGGTCACTCACACATCTCTGTAGGGCTGTCTCATGGCAGCTGCCTTTCCCTAGAGCGAATGAGCCAAGATAAAGTAAAAGAGAGCATTCAAGATGGAAGCCACGGTCTTTTCATAACCTAATCTCATAACTGACATTTCATTACTTCTGCTGTATTCTAGTCTTCATTTATTTATTTATTTTTTCTTTCTCCATACCCAGCATGGAGGCCAAAGCAGGGCTTGAACTCATGACCCTGAGATCAAGATCTGAGCTGAGATCAAGGGTCGGATGCTCAACCAACCCAGGCACTCCTGCTGTATTCTAGTCTTTAAAACAGTGAATCAACGAGGTTTGAGTTTCAGGAGGCATGGATGGCTGGGGCCTCGGATCTTAAAGGGTGCTTTCTATAGAGTCAGGGAAGGGTGTGGCCTAAGGAGCTAGAAAGTAGAAAGCTAAAACTAACCAGCATTTCGTAGTTGGGGATTAAATGGAGGGAGGGGGAGTTTAAATAGAGATATTCAGAGAAGAATGCCTTCTGAGCCTTCCACTAACTCCACCCACTGAAAGCACTTCATGGTTGTACTCTTAGGTGTCCTGGGGTTAAGGGAAGGTGTTTATTAAAGAGATCTCCAACTCAGAATTTCCTGACTGAAGAGTGGTCTAAGAACATGTCTTCATGTAAGAAACCTATGGGTGCTTTACCTGTGTCCTTTGCCTCGGCAGGTATACAAAGAGTGGTTAAGAACATGGGATCTGAGGGGAGCGTGGGTGGTTTAATTCATTAAGCCCCTGTCTTCCGCTCTCGATTTCAGTGTCCTGGGATTGAGACACAAATTGGGCTCCCTGCTCAGCTCAGTGGGGAGTCTGATTCTCCCTCTACCTGCTGCTCACCCTGCATGTGCTCTCTCTGCGTCAATAAATACAATCTTTTAAAAAAAAAAAAAGAACGTGGGATCTGACACTGGCCAATGCTGACTTAATTTATGGATTTCATAACAAGCTGATTAAAATAATAACAGGATTCTCTGTATTACTAGGTAAATAATAGTTAAAAATATAATTGGAAGAAGTTTTGGCAAGACAGTGGAATGCACAACAAAAAGTGGACATATATCCCTTGCTCAAATTTCATTAAATATCAATAAAATCATTGCTTTAAATGGAAAATTTTCATTAATAACTGTGAAGATAATTACTTAAAGATATGTAAATTAAATCTGGGCCATTAAAAAGCTTTCCATACATATGAAAATGATAACTTTGAAAAAAATTAATTCTCTAAATGAAAAAATGATACAAAGTACAAGCAGGATTCAAAGAATGATAACAATTTATTCTCAAAGGGACACTATTCACGTTAATAACTTTCCTCAGGATTTTTTTTCAGACGACAACACTACAGAATGGCAAGCAGGGACATATTAACATAACTAACAAAATTAACAAAAGATAAACTCACTAAACATGTGAGATTCTAAGTATAAAAGATAACGTTGTGAGAAAAGACAATGGATCTAGATACTAGAGCGAAGACATCCAACAAGGAGAGCAAAGGTTTTAGGATCAGGAAATAAATTGTGGAAAGGCACCTTCCAAGTTTCCTGACAGAACTCTCAACTCAAGGCCTATGTCTGCTTATATTTAACAGATCCAGTAGATGATCCTTACCCTTCTTCACACAGCAGCACTGGAAAATCAACTAAGTGAGCAACGGCTGGGAACGTAAAATGCACCTATTTCCACTACAAGGCACTGTCCCCCCCCTTTCCTACCAGGACGCTCCAAAAACAGACACTTAGCAGAAAAATTTACACATAATGCACGAGATGGAATGAGGTAAGTATCTGTAAAAAGAACCTCCCCAAATTTCAGGAAATACATGCCTCTGTGTTTTAATAAGCTGAACTTGGAGATCTGGGTATAAGGTCAAAGCAACATAAGAGGCGTGAAATCGTTAAGTGAGAAGCTTAAATCTAATCAACAGCATGAGGCTCTGACTGTAATCCGAAGGGAAAGGTCAGCATGGAATCCAAGGCAGCAAAAGCCAGATAACTATATGAGTTATAGGCCATTAAGGGGAAAGAGACTCTGAATTTGATGAATATAAACGTCACATTTACTTAGAAAAATATGTTCTGTTGTGGAGAAGCATTCTTTCACCTAGTTTTCATAAAGAAGGGATATTTCATCCTAATAAGTGAAATGCTCATGAAATGAGATTAACCACTTCCATTTATTCTGATCCTAAGTCTCTTCAAACCACCACCCACTTACTAATTTGTCCCTACTCATATCAACAAGATGTGCCCTGGTTAGGAAAAATGAAAATTCCAAATAACAGAAAGGAACAGGCCACAATGCAAATAAACATTCTGGCTCATACACAGGTCTCTTAAAATTTAGTGAGTCCGTCTCTTGAATTTGATGTATTCTAGGTGATCTGACAAACCTTGAATTTCTGAAGCTAAAAAACTAAGGCCCCAAATTGAGAGGACTTGTGCTAAATCACATTGCCTATGAAATATCTGACTAAGGGGGACACTCTGGGTGATATGGCATCTTTACCTCATCTCTGTAGCAGGAATTTATATTTACTTTATGCCTCCTCTGTATTGGCTAGTACACTGATCACTTTATTTATTTCTCTTTTAAAGATTTATTTATTTTAGGGCACCTGGGTGGCTCAGTCGGTTAAGCATCTGCCTTCAGCTCAGGTCATGATCCTCGTGTCCTGGAGCCTCGCACTGGGCTCCCTGCTCAGTGGGGAGCCTGCTTCTCCCTCTCCCTCTGCCTGTCACTCTCCCTGCTGTGTGCTCTCTCTGTCAAATGAATAAATAAAATCTTTTAAAAAAAAGGATTTCTTTATTTTCGAGAAAGAGTACAAGTGCATGCATGAAGAATGGGGCAAAGGGGAGGGGCAGAGGAAGAGGGAGAGAGAGTCCCAAGCAGACTCTGTGCTGAGCACGAAGCCCAATGCAGGGCTCAACCTCATGACCCTGAAATCACAACCTGAACCAAAACCAAGAGTCAGATGCTTAACTGACTGTGCCACCCAGGCACCCCGTTATCACTTTAAATATTAGTTCCTAACAATTCAAGAAGGGATTACTAATTCTGCTTTCAGCAATCAAAACACACACACACACACACACACTAAACACAACTGAGGCTCAGAGAGGTTAAGTAACTTGCCAAAGATCACATAGCTAACATTTGATTAAATAGATTCATCCAGGACCGTCTGACTCAAAAGATCTGGCCCTTTTCACTAAATCAGATTACCTCCACTCACTGTTAGAAGGCTCTACTAAGGCGCGCCTGGGTGGCTCAGTGGGTTAAAGCCTCTGCCTTCGGCTCGGGTCATGATCCCAGGGTCCTGGGATCAAGCCCCACGTCGGGCTCTCTGCTCGGCAGGGAGCCTGCTTCCCTTCCTCTCTCTCTGCCTGCCTCTCTGCCTACTTGTGATCTCTGCCAAATAAATAAATAAAATCTTTTGGGACGCCTGGGTGGCTCAGTTGGTTAAGCAGCTGCCTTCGGCTCAGGTCATGATCCCAGCGGCCTGGGATCGAGTCCCACATCGGGCTCCTTGCTCATCAGGGAGCCTGCTTCTTCCTCTGCCTCTGCCTGCCATTCTGTCTGCCTGTGCTTGCTCTCTCTCCCTCTCTCTCTCTGACAAATAAATAAATAAAATCTTTTAAATAAATAAATAAATAAATAAATAAATAAAATCTTTAAAAAAAAAAAAAAAGAAGGCTCTACTAAAGGTTCGTCTTTATACCACGCCAACATAACACTGCCCTTTTTCCTGGTTATTTGCACTTACTATACTCCTAGCTCCACTTGTAATTATTTAGGTATACACAACTTTACTTCTCCTGAATAGATAAGAACA